GACAGGTTGACTTGAGACTTATCAAAAGCTACCAAGTTGTACAGATAGTCTAGCTAAATTTCTATAGGCAGAGGAGGGAAAGCTGTGTGAATTCTTTCCATCAATACTTGAATGTTCATTTAACAAATATTTATTGAGCATCTAGCATGTACCAGAGACCATATTGAACACTGAGCACACAACAGTGAGAACAAACATGATTCCTATCTTCATAGAGTTTCTATTCTACTGTGTTAAACACATAATCAGCTTGTGATCAGAATCACATGTGTCTCCAAGAGTATGTAAGAGAAACCTGACCTTGCGGTGTGGGGAAAACTTCCCTGAGGAAGTCATGTCTCAGCAAAATTCTAACAGATGTAAAGTACAACTTATATATAAAGGAGAGCACATGGAACGAATGGTGCAAGTAGAAGGTATAGCCATGAGGAAGGCATATTTAAGGACTTCAAAGAGCAGCATAATTGAAACCTAAAAAACAATGATGAAAGTGTAATAAGATATAGACAGGGGCAGATAAGCAGGATCTTTTTGGTTATTTGTTAAGGATTGGGACTTTAACCTAAGAAGAATAAGTCTTTAAGAGTTTAGACTCAATCATAAGAAAATGAACAACCTCATTAAAAAATGGGCAAAAGATCTGGACACCTCACCAAGGAAGATAAACAGATGGCAAATAAGCATATAAAAAGACGTGTAACATCGTATGTCATTAGGGAATTGCAAATTAAAACAACAAGATACCACTACACACCTATGAGAATGGCCAAAATCCAAAACACCGACAAAAAACACAGACAAGGATGTGAAGCAACAGGAACTCTCATTCATTGTGGTGGGGATGCGGAATCCCCACTCTGGAAGAGAGTTTGGCAGTTTCTTACAAAACTAAACATACATTTACTGTATGATCCAGCAATCATGCTTCCCAGTATTTACCCAAAATGAGTTGAAAATATGTCCACACAGAAACCTGCATATGGATATTTATAGCAGGTTTATTCATAATTTGCAAAACTTAAAAGCAACTAAAATGGCCTTCAGTAGTTGTACATCCAGACAATGGAATATTATTAATATTTAGCACTAAAAAGAAATGGGCTATACAAGTCATGAAAAGACAGAGGAAACTTAAATGCACATTAGTAAGTTAAAGAAGACAATCTGAAAAGGCTATATACTACATGATTCCAACTATATGACATTGTGGAAAGGCAAAACTATGGAGACAGTAAAAAGATCAGTGGTTGCCAAGGGTTGGGAGGAGGGAGAGATGAATAGGCAGAGTACAGAGAATTTTTAGGGCAGTAAAACTATTCTGTACGATACTATAATGGTAGATACATGTCCTTACATTTATCAAAGCCTATAGAATGTATAATACCTAGAGTGACCTCTAACATCAAGTATGGACTTTGGGTAATAACATGTCAATGTAGGTTCATCAACTGTAACAAATGTACCACCCTGGTGCTGGGATGTTGATGGTGGGGAAGGTTGTGAGTCTGTGGAGACAGGATATATTGGGAACTCTGTGCTTTCTGCTCAATTTTGCTATGAACCTAAAACTGCTATAAAAAATAAAAGTATTTTTGGCTGGGTATGGTGGCTCACGCCTATAATCCTAGCACTCTGGGAGGCCAAGTTGGGAGGATCGCTCAAGGTCAGGAGTTCAGGACCAGCCTTAGCAAGAGTGAGACCCCATCTCTACTAAAAATAGAATGCAATTAGCTGGACAACTAAAAATATATAGAAAAAATTATCCGGGCATGGTGGCACATGCCTGTAGTCCCAGCTACTCGGGAGGCTGAGGCAGAAGGATT